GTTACGTAACTAACGTTAACGTTACGTTAGTTAGTTACGTTAGTTACGTTACGTACGTACGTAGTAGTAGTAGTAGTAGAGTACGTAGTACGTGGTGTGTGTGTGTGTGTGTGTGTGTGTGGTGGGGGGGGGGGGGGGGGCGTGTTGCTGCAGTTGACCTTATCAAGTCTGATAATTATTCTCTTGGGACAATTGAATGCCATGCTTATGGAGATTGCTGTCATGCCTACTCTTGTAGCTTAACAATAGGCAATAATTGTTAATGTTTGTTATTATGTAGGTCAGGCAGGTGATTCAAAGAGCAAAGCTGGAATTTCTGTTTGAACATGGATGGTTACCAACTGATGAAGAGATCATGGAAAAAGTGGGTATTTCTGAGGAGAAGTATCATGATGTTCTTCGGGCCTCAAAACCAGTTTTCTCCCTCAATGCAAAGCATGTCACAACTCAGGAGGAGCTGGTGAATGGTGTCATGGACATGGATGGTGTCACTGGTGATAAGCGTAAGCCTGCTGCCCTTCTCAGGCTAGCCTTGGATGATGTGGTACTTTATTCCTATCCCTTGTTCAATCCAATGGATTCTTCTGATTATAATCTGTAATAATAGGTGAATTATAGTGTTTTTCTAGTAAAATTTTTATCTCGACTATACAAACTAGCGAATCAGCAATGACTTCCTTGGGCAATAGTACAACTTGTGAGGCAGGATCAGGACGTGTCAAAGTTCCTGGTTGAAAACCATTTCTGAAGCCCTTCAATAGCTTAGTTTTGGGCTTGTCCATTGAGAACTCTGAAAGGGTTTCTCATGGTAAACAGAGATAAAAACAAGACCAGTTACTCTGAACAATTATGTTAACTTGAATATGATCAAGATCATTAGACCAACAATTTTTTAGGTGATCATGTTTACTTTCTGTCTTTTTAACTTTGTGCAGTTAGATTCGTTGAAGCCCAAGGAGAGCTTAGTAATCAGGCAGAGATATGGGCTTGATGGCAAAGGAGATAGAACTCTCAGTGAGATTGCTGGTAATTTGAATATCTCTAGAGAGATGGTCAGAAAACATGAAGTGAAGGCGTTGATGAAGCTCAAACATCCTGCACGTGTCGATTATCTTCGCAGATACATTGTATAAAGGGTAATGCAGAGAACATCGTCTAGTAGTGCTGTCACTTTCGAAATGCAATCTTCTTCAGCCTCTTATCCTCTTTTTGTAAAGTACTTGTAACATAAAGAAGTATACTCCGAATGCATATACATTTGTAGCTCATAATTGGTAATTGGGGTGTACGGAAAAATATAGTGCAAAAATTCTTCAGCATGTATTCTTGACTGAAATATTCATAGGAATGTATATGAATATATATACATTTGTAGCTTGGAATTGGTCATTTGGGGTGCAAGGAAAAATATAGTGTAAAATTCTATAGTATGTATTCTTGATTGAAATATTCATAGGAAGAATAATGCGTGCAAGTTTTCGAGATACACTCGCCGCATCTTATTTTAGCATGTGAAGTATTGAGCACCCCGTTTCACTCTGTCGGAAAGAAATTTTGAGCTTGAATACTAGTTAAAATTTTAGAAACGGGGTTCGACTTCTAAGAAATATCAGACCTAAATTCACCGTAAAGTAAGAGTTCACATATTAACATGTGATTCATTGAATTCAGGATCAACTCAAGGTGGCCCTCTTGAGAAGTCATTCTATATAAACACATGAGAAAAGTTGATGTTTTGTGCCTGTTAGTGTGTATTTTTTACGCACTAATTTCCTAAGTGCGAATAATTGCGGAAGCGGTTGCGACCCAGATCTGTGGGTGCCAGTCATGCCTATCGACTACTGAAGCCCGCATGAAATAAATTTTATTTTGAAGAGCCATGATAACAATGAAACACATGAGCCTACTATGTTGTTTAAAGGATGCACTTCAAGTTTCATTTACTTTGGCTGCAAATATGAGAAAATGACACAAAATCAGTTTCGAGTTAAGACACTGACACGACTGTGGTGAGCCATAGTTAGAACTCTACCCTAGAGACCGCTAGTGGCCATGGGACTACCAGATGGATTTAAAAGGGCGAAACCAATTTGCTTGTCAAATTTTAGCTCAAGCAGACTTTTTTAAGTCATACACTCCTAAAACGGCAAGAATTTTACTATTCACTTGAGCCGCATTGAACCAGTTACTATTTATAGTAATTGTGTTTTTCAAAACCGGGGCAACTAGTGAAGCGTGTTTCTACCTCACCTTGAGGCAGATCGATCCCAAATTTTAGTATGTTGTTCCCCTTGCCAATATCTATGTTTTGACGAGTGGCACGCACGGTGGGGATCACTGAATAGAGAGAAATCCTAGAGAGAAAGTTGATTGGGAACATGAAAATGCTGAATTTTATGTGCAGTGTATGCCACCACTCTGATGGCCAAATCTTAAGATTTCTGACTCCTATAAGCCACGATCTCTACCTCTAAAAGTAGAGGTAGAGAAAATATCCTATTAATGTTGGCAAGAAGGCACAATTTTTCGGTCGTCGGAATCCCATTATCTGATGACCTCCATAAATGAAAACATCTCCAAACGAGCTCCAAATTTGGGGGTTTTCATTGCAAAGTGATCACAACGAAGTCACCTTCAATTTTCAATTGAAAAATAAGACCAAGAACGTGACGAAGCATGATAGATCGAAGATCGAAAAGACTCAAGTTTGTAAGTCTGGCTGGATTTTTGGAATCATAAACAAAAGTTTGATTCAAGCCTCAAATCTTATATAAAAAACAATCGCCACAAAACGATCTACACTTAAACGGTGTTATATCGCTTAGAATGTCGCTCGAACATGCCAATAATGTCCTTGAACCATGAGAAAGGCAAAAGGCCCCTTTTGGAGGGTTAATTTTGTCATTTTCACATTTCTAGGTAGGGGCAAAATGGTCATTTTTTTAAAATCCAAAATTTCAGTTTTATTCATTTTAATTATATTTTTAGTCAATTAGGTTTAATTTTGAGCATCCACTCATATTTTTGGATGACTCTATCATCACTTTTACTTCTTTTGTAAAAAAAGAGGAGAAATGTTGAATGAAATGAGTTGAAATTTTAGAAGAAAGAAACCGTTCTTTGAGCTTCATTGAAAACCCTTTACCTTTGAGAGAGAGGAGAGAGAAAAATTTACACATACCCTATCCCATATCCTATACTACAAAACTCCCCAGTTTCATACACCTTATACAATACACATTACTTACCCATGCCCCATACCTACGCATACACTACACCTATCTATACACCATACCTACCCATACACCACACCTACTCATACACCACACTTATCCATACACCATATCTACCTATACACCACATGTATCTATACCCATCCTTACACCATACCCATACCCATCCATACACCGTAACCATATCCAATCATGCACCACACCACACAACCCTACATCCATGCTCCTCTCAAAGGGCCGGTCTCCCCCCATCTAGCTCAAGGTGCTAATCTCTCTCTAGGTACGTATCTTTATCTATTTTTTCTTTCTCTCTTTCTCTTCTTTCTCTTCTCTCTTTCTTTCTCTTCCTCTCTTTTTCTTCTCTTCTATTTCTCTTATCTTCGCTCTTTTTCTTCTTATTCTCTCTCTTGTCTCTTATCTTTCTCTCTTTCTTTTTCTCTATCTCTCATGAACCAAGTGGCCTAGCCGCCTGGCTCTCCTCTCTCTCTCACACTCACAAACCAAGCGGCCTAGCTAATTGGATCCCCACTCCCCACACACCCTCAGGAACCAAGCGGCCTAGCCGTCTGGCTCCTCTCTCTCTCTCTCTCTCTCCCTTGAGAGCTAGGCAGCTAGCCCCCTTCTCCCTCACGCTCTTTCTCTTTCTCTTACTCTCTTCTCCTGTCTTCCTCTTCTCCCTCAGCTCTTTATCTTATTCTCTCATTCTCTCTTCCTCTTCAGTTTTCTCTCTCTCTTCTCTCTTCTTTCTGTCTCTCTTCAACTTCTCTTTTATCTATCTCCTCTCTTGTCTCTCTTATTCTCCCCTTTTATCTTTCCCTACGAGGCTCTTCTGAGGCATATTTACAGTAAGGTTTAGCTCGGCCAATATCTTTTCGACCTTAAGAATACTTTGGTATACTGTGGCCTTGTGCCTAATACCTTTTTAGTTGGCTCCCTGAAATACCTCCTTGGGGAGGTAACACTGAAAGGTTGTTGACTTGCTAAGAAATCCTCTTCTCTCTTCCCTCTTCATTTTATCTCTTCACCTCATATTCCTCTTCTCTCTTCTCTTATCCCTCTCCCTTGTCCTTCACCTTGATCACTCTTTAAGGGGGCTCATTCACCAGGTCAACCTTGGGGCTCTTGAGTGCCCATGCCCAAGAAGTTCGTACCTTTTCGCTGTGCCTCTGAGGTATCTAAGCCTTGTTCCTAATACTTTTTCAGTGGGCCCTCCATAATACATCCTAGGGGAGGTAACATCAAAAGGCTGCCTGATTTTTGAGTGGTCCTTCTTTCTTTCCTCTATTTCTCTCATCCCTTTATTTCTACTTCTCATCCATCCTTCTCCCTCTCTATTCCCCCATCTAACTCTAAAATCGACCCTCTTCAACCTCCTAAAACCATCCCCAAACCTTTCACCTCAAAACCACCATTCAAGAGCGAGCTAAGGGCTCTTGACCATAGGTCGACACACAAACGGCGCGTGAACTAAAGGCAATATGTGAGCGGCGAGGGAGCAAGGTCCAAACCGTGCTGAGAGGCCAGGGGGCTTTTTGTAGTGATCTAAGAGGGATCGCAAAGCCCGGGAGTGTCCATGATCCCAACCCCGCAAGGTAGGTGCCTACCCCCTCGCCATTAAAATCTTTCTCACTTTGTTGGTTTCTATTCGCGCATCATGCACGCACTGCACCCAAACACGCACACGTGCATACATGCGGTTTTTGAGAATGGGATCTTGGGTTGGACCAACCAAGTCCCAAGCCACGACAAGACCAGGGTTGACCAACTGGCATCTGGGCTCTGGCCTTACCTGGATCGAGAAGGGACCCCCTGGTCCCTTACTATCCATTTCTCGGCACCAACGACCAAGCCATTGTGGTCACATGCACAGGTGGCCTGAAGGTCACCGCCTCACATATGCACATAGCCACTGGTGGCTCACTTGTCAGTCCTAATTCTCAGGAAAGCCCAAGGGCCACCCCTCCTCTTCTCGCAATCGGCAGTACAATTTCCATTGCTCCAATGGGCGGTCGAAAGGTCACCCCTCATAAACTCCATATGCATACCGATGGCCTGACGGTCAGTAACGCTCACACTAATCATATTGACGACTATGCTACCGGCCCCTCACAGTTGGGAAGTCGAAAGGCCACCACACACATCCTCATACAGGACACTGACGACCTAGCCACCGGTCTCCCACAAAAAGGAGAGCCTAAGGCCAATCCTTCACACCCACTCACAAGGACCAGTAGTCCCCTTACCTGTCCAATGCTTTGGGACAACCCAAGGGTCGCCTTGTCTCACTCACAGGCGTTGGACCTTTTAAGACCTGATCCCACACCTACGGGTGGCCCAAAGGCCATTAAACCAGTACCACATGTCATTCACCTTGCTTGGGGCAGCCTGAAGGTAGTCCCTCGACAAACACTGGGTCAACGGCCCAGCCGTTTGTCACACTTTCATATATCTATGCACACCATGAATGGTGGTCGCAAGGCCGCCTTTTCATGTGCAGTTCATTTCGAAGCCAACGCCTCTAAAGTCGGATCCTCTACACCACCTAAGTAGGCCCCAACGCCACGCCAAACACATCTCTGCATTGTGCATACACGAACATGCCGAAAACAGCCCCTAGTTTTGATCTTGCATATGCCAAGAGGTTGGAGGTCTACCAAGCCATCAAGTAGGGAAATAATGGTCAAACTCACACATGGGGCAGGCGACCAAGACATTGAAGGCCCGATTCAAGGGCGAAGAATAAAAGAACATGAATGTAAGGACCCAGACTTTTTCGGCAGGTTTTAGTGCACCGACGAGTCATCACAAGGACACCGTCGTACGTGAGTGCTGCCTGCGTAAGTCACCGCCGTGCGTGAGTGCTACGGTGCGTGTAAGTCACCACCATGCGTGAATGCTGCCATGCGCATAAGTCACCGTCGTGCTTGAGTGCTGCCGTGCAGGTAAGTCACCACCATGCGTGAGTGCTACCGTGCACATAAGTCACTGCTGTGCATGAGTGCTGTCGTGTGCGTTAGTCACAGCTATGCATGAGTGCTGTTGTGCGCGTAAGTCACCACAGTACGTGAGTGCTTTTGTGCATGTAAGTCACCGTGGTGCGTGAGTGTTGCCGTGCACGTAGTTCACCGCCGTGCATGAGTGCTGTCGTGCGCGTAAGTCACCGCCGTACGTGAGTGCTGCCGTGCGCGTAAGTC